TGAACTTGATTCCTGGGTAGCACGTAAGAGTGAAGAAGTAACTTCATTTGACACTGGCTGCCCTTATTCCTAGATACTGACAGCTATGAAGATAGTAAAAGGATTCATGTATGCCATTAAAAGTACTTCTGCTTAGTTACATCTTGCAATTATGTGGGTTTTCATTTTTCATTTCAGGACACTTACAGTGGATTAATAGGCACACTTGTTGTGTGTCATAAACATTACCTGCCATCATTTCACACTAAAAAGAAAGTTCAATTTGCTCTTCTCTTTATGGTTTTTGATGAAAATGAGTCTTGGTACTTGGACGAAAACATTAAAATGTATTCTACCAACCCACACCTTGTTGACAAAGAGGATGAGGAATTCCTTGAAAGTAATAAAATGCATGGTATGTTTCCCAATTTAGTTCATATAGCCCTGAAAATTCTATAAAATTATATATTTGAAATTACTGCATATTAATTCAACTTTCTCAGCCCCCTGAATTTCCAGTTCCAGGACAGAATGCCTAAAAAATCTTACTCAAACTGTATGCAAACTCTGCTAATGCCAGTAAATGACTTTTTTTTTTTCACAAGTTAAAAAAACCCTTAACAACAACAAAACAACAACAACACACCCTAGTATATTCCCATGCAGAAGTTTTGAGTAGAGAAAGAATAAAAATGGAATTTGAAGTTCTGATTTATGTCAGTAAACAACTGCTCTGGATATGCTGAAAAGACTATGTGCATCCTGAAAGTGTGTCTTTGTAAAGCTTACCCTTTTACACAGATCTACAAGAATAGCAGATCTTTTTTTAAAGATCTGCAATACCCACAGCTCTTTAAAAACGGCAATATTAGCAATGGTGTACAGCAAAGAAATTTTCTTAATTATGTCTTTCTTTCTAGCTTAATGTGGAATATAAACCATTCATTATGTGCTGTCCAAAGCCATTACTTTTGTCTGGCACTGGCTTTCAAATCTTTCAATCTGTATCATATTAGAGATGAACAATACACAATACACAAAATCTTACTGGTTTTCTCTGTCTTACTTTCCTTCTTTTTAGGCATTAATGGAAAGGTGTTTGGAAATTTGCATGGCCTGACTATGCATGTTGGAGATAATGTCAGCTGGTATTTGATGGGAATGGGCAATGAGATAGACATTCACACAGCACACTTCCACGGCCACAGCTTTGACTACAAGGTACCAGGTCTTTTTCTCTTGTTTCTTGCTGTGTTAAGAATGAGAGGTAAGTCAAATACCAAGGACTGTTATTTATGGTGAGAAGTTGTATTACAATATTAAGCAGGGCTAGTATTTTGACCACAAGGGTCTTATGCCTCAACATTTGATCAACATACAAGAGCCAGAGAATATCTGCCAGTGGCATTTGCTCACTAGTAACCTCAGAAGTTACTTCAACAAGATAATTGTGAATTTTTCATGGCTGTGGTAAGACAAAAGCTATAGTCTTCCTTTGTTTCCACTTAGTTGCTAGTTTTTTAAACTTTTGAGCATGAGGTGGATGTACAAAGTGATGCTGCAGTAGAAATGACGCACAGAAAGTGTGTTTAACACAGTTTAACTGTTGCTTCATTTTGTCTCAAAGCAAACAGGGGTTTACCGGGCAGATGTCTTTGACCTGTTCCCTGGGACATCTCAAACTGTGGAAATGACCCCACAGAACCCTGGAACCTGGCTGTTACATTGTCATGTTACTGACCACATCCACGCAGGCATGGAAGTGACCTACACTGTGCTCCCGAAGGAAGGTAAGAGCCATCTAGCTTAGGAATGTTTGTTATGTTTTAAGATGCACAATGGGGCTCACGGACAGGCCAGCATACTTAGAACCAGTTCAGACACCCAGCAATATTACATGTCTGGAAGCCAAGGTGTTGCAGGCCACCTGGTCATACTTCCCGCAGCACTGCTCAGGAAAATGAAGTAGCTGAAGGACTGGATGGTAACTGACTATTAAGTCACCTTATCATCATGAAATCTAAGTGACAGAATTTTTTATTTAAAAGTAATTCTTCATGAGATAGAGTATTTCTGTACCCAAGAAGTGCCAGTAGTGTCAGACTTCATCTCAATCTTTGTTCAAAACAAGCACAGCTGATAAATACAGCTGAATTCATCATTCCTGTACAGCTGAAGTACTGAAAAACTAAAATAGTGTTTACTTTCTCAAGGGCATGTTGTAACTTTATGGACACTGTTACCTTGCTCTAGCACTATTACAAGTGAACAATCATGAATGTTGAAGAATTTTGAAAGTTCTTGCTTCTAAAAACTTAATACAGTTTTAAAAACAGTATTTTCCGCTACTCAAAAGACAGAGCATAACAGGTATCAACAGAAAAAGAACAGTAGAAATAATTCAAAATATGTGATGTATGTATATATATGCAACTATATGATTTACATTTATAGCAATACTAAAAATACAGAATGCAATGTTAAACAGAAAATCTAATTATATTTGATAAACCATTGGAATGTGAAACAACACCTAATTCTATTTTATAAACAGTAAAATTGATTTAGAGTATGTTATGCCAGACCTCCAGACAGTAACAAGGCTAATTTAAAAGTACACAGAAAGACATGTAAAAACAGACTTTCAACTTGGATTAGCAGTATGTTGTTTTTTTTATTATTAGGCATCTAGATGGCATTAAAATGTACCCTTAAGTGCACTGTTGTTCTTAAACCTAACTCACAATGTTCAGAAGGTACTCAGATCCTCTGAGTTAGTTTTGGACTCTGTTGGCCGCATGCACAGACAGTTCTTTTGATGAAATGTAACAAAAAGCTTTTTTTTTCCCCCTCCAGTCAAACAGTCTCTGCTCCCAAGATTATTCAATCAGTTCAACTGTAAAGGCATGACAGGCACTCAAGAATGATAAAAGAATTTTAACAGAGTGATCCTCCAAGGTCTACCTTTATTTCTTGGAAAATACTCTCTCCTAGACCACTCATCTCTACAGGTTTTGGAAGATTTCACATAGTGGCCATGGCTAAGAAAAGAACCACAGGCTAACACAGCTGAATGGATGTAACAGCTTATAAATATATGTTTCTATAAATGAAAACAGTATCTTGCAATATTCTAGGTGATGGCTAATGCATGTTATTTAGGAGCTGAAGAACATGGAAGAACTAATGAAATGTACTTTTTTTAAAGTTTGCAAATAACCCTGAATAATGGCAAAATATGGGGTATTGGTCACCATACTGTCACGTTTTGCTAGATAGGTATGTCTGTAGTAACTGCTTAGAAAACAGGAATTTGGTTATCACTTTATCCATCGGTTCACACTGAAAAGATACACAGTATTGTATAATTGAGCAGTTAACAAAATAGTTCTATTATTTCTGTTGAATTACTTTACAATTTTATTCAGTAGTATCTTTCAAGAATGTGCATTTAAAATATTTGGTTTTCTGTTATGAAAATAATTCCAAGGCAAAATTAGGCTGAAATAAGCCTCATGAAAAGCAGACCGTGAACGCCAAAATTTGGTGACTATGGTACTGAAGAGCTTTGCTCTGATGACTCTTAAGTAACTCCTGCAGTGGAACCATTTTGCTGTTGCAGCCCTTGGCAAAGGAAAAAGGAAGTGTTTCCTGAAGGATGTAAGCAGCAGTAATAGAGGATGGCTGATGCTAGTCAAAAATGAGAACAGTAAGAGCGATATGGTTGTGTTTCAATAACCCAACTCCTCATATTAGATCTGTGCTAAATGAGAAAGAAAGATGTATGGGGCAGACAGGGAAAGCAAGATATCTGGGCTTTATAACTGTAAGAGTGAAACTGCTTCTCTGTAACAAGCCTAAATCACTTCGGTCTTTTTAAAAGATTATACTGAAACCAGCATAATACCTACCAGTAAATCTACCTGTAGCAGGAATGCTATGTAAGTAAGTTAAACTACTTATGTAAGTTAAACTACTTTTATCTTTTTTTTTGTTAATGTATTTTTGCTGAAATATAGACCATCTCTTCTGACTGACTTCTACAGGTTTAAATAACATTGCAACTCCGGTGAAAACAGTTTTATGGAGTCACTGTCAGCTAATTAGGCCTTTAGATGGTTTAGATGGTAATGGGATCATGGGAGTCATTGTATTTTTGGTAATTGTCAAAAAAAAACCAAACTACATTCATAAGAAAGTTATAAATATGTGTGACAGCGTATTATGACTGAATTCCAGCTCTGAAGGAGCAAAAAGGCTCTTTCTGCTCCCAAGACAAACAAACATCAGTACACACATGTACAAGCACCTGAGATGCTTATCAAAAACCCTAGAAGAAATAAGAGTTTTTGGCTGTATTTATGGCCTAGCGATACTTCAAATACTGTCTACTGGCTAAGCATAACGGAAGAAAGAGAACAAAGACCAGCAAGCCAACCACAGTCCATATCTTCCATTTGTTTCTCTTTGATTAATGGCCTTTTCTTGTGAACTGCTAAATTAAAACATTCTCAGTGTAACACTTGCCTGGGTATGTAACCAAGATGACAGAGCAGCAGCCCAATTTTGCCAGCTAGAATTCAAGGAAATGTCTGTATTGCAGTACCAGTCAGTTGGGCCCAATTCCACTTGGAAGAGTAGGTACTCACTTTTACTCGTACATAGACATGCCTGAGCCTGAATTCCTCCCTAGGTCCACGATCCAACTAACAAAGATTTAAGACTGACGTTCAACTTTACTTTCAGTGAACACTGTATGTTCAGTTGGACTGCAGAATCTGTATTCCCCACCTGCTTTGGCACCAGAATTAGCTTCAAAATAGATGCTTTGCCTCAGGAAAAAGCTGTCCTTCAGTACTTGACATAGGATGTATGTGAAGGAGTCCCACAGTACCTAATAAGGAGCTCTACTGCTTGTTGTATTTACTTTTTTATTACAGTACATTTTTTGGAGTTGAATGGATAGCAGATCCACAGGTCATCATTTTAGGTCAGCAACTTCCCCTGGCTGCAGTGAAGAAGATGTGGCAGAAAAAATCCTGCAGTCCCATCCTCTGGCAGAACACTTAGGAAATCCCTTAGCTCCAGTTCCATTGCAACAATTGATAAAGTTTCTGCTCAGAGCCGGGGAAGAAATATTGTTTAGGTATTTTGAGTTTAAGGCACAGAAAAAGCCCCAAAGCATTAACAATGTAATTATTAAATAAAGTCATCAAATTATTTAAATATTTCAACTGGAATTAAATTTGAGACATAGTCATTTGAGCGCATATACAACTATGCGAAATCTAAAAAGTAAACTGAAATTATGACTTTAGTAAAAACCTCTGTCTTGACTCATTAGGTCTACACGTCTGCTCTAATATTTCACATGTTTTGTATGAAATGCAAAGCAATTATTAGTACCCTAACTGAACACTATTTGTTAAACTGGATGCTTTGCAAGAAGCTTCTCAGACCAAGCTCTGTAATGTTACATTCTTAAGCAACTACAGCAGTTACTGCATGAAAATAAACCCAAAGAAAAACTGCTAGCACCAGAAACTAGAACTTTATGATAAAGCATGGCAATCTGTGCTGCACAATGCAATCCAATCCCACAATGTTGTTCTTCTCAGGCATTCCAATGGCACACTTTTAACAATATATGTGCTTTATTTAATATTCCTCATTTGTAAAAACAATCACACTGGCCCCTCAGCTACACACAGTATGATTAACTTCTTACAAATATGTAATGGTAGGACTACAGAACTACTAGGGTGGATTTCTCTACTTCTAGTATTAACACACTCTTTTTTTCACTCTATGACCTAATCATCAATACACACTTAAGCCTCCTCTGTTATCAATAGCAGCCTATTACATAAGAACCATAAAGTCATTTAGCTTAGAAAAAAAACCAATCACAATTAGTACTGTTTAGCAGGTTTCTTAATGGTGTCCATTCTTGACCTATACAGAAAGAGTACGATTACAACAACTTACCTGTTTTCAATACAAAATGAATGCCATGATTTTTATGAGGTTACACTACCTTCATTGCAGAATTCTGTGCTAATGACTAGAAAGGATGCTAAACAGCATTAGCTTTAACTGAAGAAAAAGACCCCCTTTTTTTCCAAATTATTGTACCAGTAGTCCTTAGTCTGAACAGTTATTAAGAAAATTAGCTGATGTACAAAGCCTTCTGGAATTGAGTTACAACCAGTTGATTTACCTTTGAGTGATGAAATAAGAACAGGGCAGTCATTTCCAGTAAGTCTAGTTCTCTTGCAAAGTTCAGGAAGCAGCTTCTTCCACCACAGAGCCTAACCCACAAAACCCCATAGCAAAAGTGTAAATCAACAAGGACTGCAATTAGAGTATGAAAGACCTGCTAAAAATACCCTGAACTGAGCTCAGATGTGTACAAATACAGGTCAGTTATTATGAACTCAATAATTAGTTTATATAATGGTTTGAAATGCAGTGATTTTACATATGTTGTGTTTTTCAATCTTCAGGGCGACTTTTTTCTGCTAAAAAATCTTTACACAGTGTCCTCCACAGCTCTATAGAAAAAAGTTTAGAAGACAAAAAAAAGCCACATAATTAGCAATACCAATGCAGTCTGAGATGATGTTTTTCCTCTCAGAACAGCTCCATGGAAAGCGGTGGCATTGCTTTGTCTCCTGACCTGATTTGTCTCATTCCAACAATTTAGAAGTAAATTAGGCTTTGTGCACAATTTTGTAGATAAGAATGGACAGAAGGAAAGGGATTTCTTTCCTCCTTTAAAACTTGGCAACTATTTTCTTTCACTTGTGTTCAGATTCAGTACTGCAGCCTCACATTCTACTCTAATGTGGAAAAAACCACAGAACCTATTTTCAGATCAGAATAAAGAGCTCAAATCTGGTTCTGAATAGAGTTCTAGTACATCCTTCTGCTAGAGATCACCTTTGCTGACTCCGGTCAGCAGAGCTGCATACAATTAATTGTCCCAGTCACTGTACTGGGAAATGGAAATAAACTCCTGCATTCCTGGAACACTAGAATAAAATCTGTTCAAACACTAAAAATATATAGAGACCTAATGGGAAAATGGGACATAAGAACATAATCTTTCCACTAGTGTATTGGTAGCATTCTGGTTGCTAGAAGGTCAGAAGATGTCACTAGAACACAGATAGAACATATTTAAATGCAATTTCATTCGGAGGACCATGTTTTCGTATCAGTTAGCCTAGTACTAAGATTTTATATTATAAACACTGACAAAAAATTTAGAACATAGTCAGTTAGTGAGAAGCTAGGTAGCTTTTAATTTACAGTAGAAAAAGGTCAATCGCTCTCTTTTTCTGAGGCACTTTGCCATGTAAAAAACACGATACTTTAAGTTTACTATAATGAATAGAGTAAGTGACAAAAGAAACTGGAGGAAAAAATATTCCATTACATTACTGGGGAGTGAGTAAAGGAATTAAAATGCCAAGGAAGAGGTTGAAGGCAAGCTAAGGAATTTACTTTGTCTGAAAGCTAGGCAATGTGATCCATCCAGAGTCCATCTGTACATACAGAATTTCAGTTAGGGAAAAAAAACCCCAAAACAATAGTGAATAACTGTATTGATAATAGCCCACCTGATTGTCACCTTTCAGCTCATGCTGAGCGTAGAACACAGCTGCATCAGGACACCTTCTGAGAAGCTGGTCGATGGCTTCCTCGTACTTGCCCAGACGGGTACTGCTGAGGACACGGATGGTGAGGCCAACATTGTCAGCTTCTGTCAGAGGCTCCAAAACAGGCAGAGCTGATGCTATATTGATTGACTGACTACATAAAAGAGACTGAAGACAAGAAGAGAAAGTATTCTTTGGATTTAAGACAAATGTTGCAAAAAAATGCTAACCATAACCTTAGAACAGAAGTCCTTACTTGTTGGAATAATCCTGAATTAATACTTCCCTTAATAAATATTGCTGAAAACTGAGAAAGCAAGTTTAGAGTAGATGCAAATGAAAATATTGCTATCAACAGAACTCTTAAGTATTTTTTTCTCCCATCATTTCAGTTGCCCTTTTATCTTGACTTGGATAACTTAGGGGGGAAGAAGAAGGAGACTCACTGGAGAAAGTTGTTCATACAGACATGAACATCCTTAGAATTAATTTAAGATATAAAGCAGTAAGACGTAATACCTGTTTCATACCTGTAGTCTTGAGATGTCTCCATGGTAATCTTTGTCAGATGAACAACCCACTGACATTACAGAAGTTACCCATGGGACAATCAACCCAAAATGACGACAGGAGTTTATCTATACAAGACAGAATCAAGTTGCAATAAAAGAAACATTTCTATTAGTGACAGTTCCATAGGAAACTTACAGTGAGTAAAGAAAATTTTAATCTCAAATACCATAATTTAGAAGAGCACGTACCCTTTCTTGCCTGGATTGTGTAATTTAATAACAAATAAAACAACCCAAATAAACTGGAAACTTCTATTTAGTTCTGTATTTCAGCTTTCCTGTTTGCAATTCTTTAGAATTCATTATTCACACAATTTTCTCATCTAGTTAGCTTTGTAAAATTGTAAATAATCCACCTGAAAAATTCTCTTTTTTTTCATTTTAACCCTAATTTCTATCCACAGCTGAAACTCCTGCTAGAAGTATATTTGCAAATGTCCCCAAGGAGCAGGACTGGCCAAAGACAGAAATACTGATTTGTAACTGCACACCACCTTACTTGACTTCAGACTTGCTTCTTTTAAGAGATAAACTGTCTAGAATTAAAATATTAAGGATGGTACTAGGATAGATCTTGGAAGAACACTGCAGTCCCAAAACTTCCTCTGTGTGGTTCACAACTTACTAGATCCTCTGTTGTTTTCAATGGCTTAGTTTCAGGAAGCTGCTTCCTTGATATTCTCCAAACATACTGAGAAGTAACCCTCAATAGGAGTTCCTGAAGTATTTCTTCCTGAGACGACACTACAAGAAGAGCTTCCCAGAAATCCACCAGGAGCTGGGGAATAGTGTTTTCACTACTATTACACAGCATCTAAGAACAAAAATGACAGAAGACAGCAAGTTAGACTATGGTGATTTTTAGTAGCAAAAGTTAGAGAAGAGGAACAGTTTTTCACTTTTACTAGAAGTGTAATTTTGAATCCTTTTTTGTCTTGTGATTCTATGTAATACACTGATATGCAAAGTAAAAAGTTCATTAAGTGATTTTAAGGTAATCAATTCAGACCAACAGACTTGATTCTTCAAGATTTACTCCACTGCCAGAAATGTCAGTACAACTGGCAGCAAGTATTTACAGACTGCTAATGAGGAGGATTTTTACATATGTCAACAGACAAGTAGGTGTTTTCAGAAGAAGCCTCTATAGTCCATGATAAGATCTACTGTGTAGCTCAGCTGGTATCATGGTAGGACTCACAAGGAAGATGTTTTAAGATCTGCTGTGCCAGCAAAAAGGATTTTTACTTGGTTTCCAAATGGTTTTACACAACACTTGTTCTAACTGGAACTTCATGACTTGCTCTTTTTGATACAAGTCTTCACAGTACACAGATACAGTAAAGACTGCAATACACTGACGAACACGTTTTAACCCAAGTGTTGCTATTCATTGTAGATAAAAGAAAAAAAGGTTTGTCTATTCCCAGCTTAAAGAAAGCAAGCTTCAGGGACACTAAAAAAACTATTAGTATTTCTTCTTATAAACTGCAGACACTTTTCTTTCACCAGTTTATACAGTTCATCAGAACATGATATACCTTCACATTTAAGCCCGATTCTTTAGATGCTCTAAAGATTTATTTAAAAGGAGCTTATGGAATTAATTTATCTAAGTTCTGTTGTTACACTTCAGTGGCCTTGGGAAGCTCTATCACTAGGAAGCCACTGAAAGGGCTCTGAGATCAGGGTATTTTCCATTCAAATGATAGGGTAAAAGCAAAGAACTTAATGGATTTTTTTTTTCCCCCCACTTAACCAGTGTTTTGTTCCAGAAGGTCCAGTTTCTGACTCTGTAACCACCTATCGTGACTAGAATATCTCCAACCCTCATGTCCCTCTCTCTGCAGAAATGCTTAAATGTAAGTGAAGGAGCAACTGAGGCTGTTTTTCTTTCCCACAATAATGTCACTATGAAAAAAACAGAAGCAAAAACATGATCACCAGCCAACCTTGAAAAAGGTATCTGCTTCTTCTAGTTCAATTTTCCTGTTCTCATGTAAAGCCACAGTGGCAGCCACCAGTAAACCAGGCTGCATCTCCTTCAGGTGAACAGCAAACTCAGTTGGCATAACAATTCCTTCCTTACGCTGATGCAGCAGTCGTGGTTGCCCAATGAAGCCACAAGCCAGTGTTGTCTACAAACATAATTAGATATAAATAAGGTAAAGAATTCAATATATGGATGATTCTACTCAGTAAACTCAGTATTTCCTCAGGTAGTGAAATTTAGATGGAAGCAGTCAGGGAAGAAAGTATATCCTTTCTGCAATTCATAGAGCAGCTCTCCAGACACAGAGATCCAAACCACATTTTGGAGCAACAACTCCTGAAAAACAGGCCCTGTGCCTAAACACTGAAAGTAATATGCTGTTGAAAGATAGAGTTAGTGAGCACATAAAATGGATTTCATAAAGAAATCCCAGACATTTTAATACACAGGGTGGTTTGAAAAATCACTGGCTGACTTTTCAAGAGGCTACTTTGCTACATTTCAGTAGACTACTTTGCTAAAGTGTGATTTTTATTTTGAAAATACCCCTGAAACAATGATCAAGATGTGCTGCACTTTGTGCAACAAGAAGCTATCTTGAGTCATGTGAGTGCTTTTGAAGGTGAGTGTAACAAAATACTACTCCCATTTTAAAGACAGTGGAAAAATAATGGCTAAGTAAATTAAATTAATTACACAAGAAATATAAGGCAGAACTAGAAGAAAAGTTCAGATTAGCTATCTGAAAGTGCTTCTTTTTTCCTGCTTTGAAATAAATAGATTTTTTAAAGGTGAAGTGCAATGGAACATATTTTATAGATCAGATTAGAAAGAAAGAAAACCCAACCAAAAACACTGAAACCAAAGCCACCTTATTCTCAAAATAACATTAATGCACTGTATGTTTGTTCACAACATGGCAATTTCATTTGATAGTGCTGCAAAAGCCGATGATGCTGAATATAATTTCTGAAACAGCTCCCCACAGTTCCTTCCTTGCAACTCAAAACCAACTAACTTTAAAAACTCTGAAGGACTTCTTCCACCAAAGCATGATATCTAACTTTGAAACAGCTACCCATTTATTTCAAAAGTGTTTAGATTCCCAGTATCCCACTATAAGAAGAAGCCTCTGTTTCCAACTCTATCACCTTTGAATATTCCACAGTCTTGATCAAACTCAACAAGAAGTAATTTACAGACTGGTCACACACATGTGCACATCTGTTAAAGAGACAGCTCCACTAACATTTTTGCCCCCAGTGATGAGGAATTCTTACTTTGATAGCTCTGAAATAGGTTCTGATCTGGTCTCAATAAGAGTTATGTGCTTTGATTCCATATAAGATATAAAACAGTATACAGAACCTTCAGTTTGTGAGCACAATGGACAAATATTCTTTCAAGATCAATTTTATAAGGGCTGTTTGAATACAGATGGTGTTTTGATGGTAATATTAATTTCAGGTGAAGAGGTGTAGAAATGCTACTATACAATCCTCCCATGCAGCTGAAGAGCACTGGCAGAGTTGGTTACAACCCAGTAAAACAACATCTAATTGATCGAGAATTAAGAGCTCCAAAATTTATTAAAAAACTTTTTATTAAAAAAAGCTTGTTTTGTAAGTCTTTGCCAAGACAAGAATTACCTACCTGCAGGGTAACCTCTACAGTCCCAATGTATGTAAGCCCCCCATTCTACTGTTACTGCAGACATTGAGTGGACCTACAAAGCATATCAGGAGGCAGAGGGGTGATCGGAAGTTTCCTTTACTGTTAAATGCAACTACAAGTCAAACTATTGACTTGGACTTTGTAAAGCATGATTGGCTCATGTTCTTGGCATACTTTACCTCCTTACAGGAGTCCATTTCATGTTCATACATTGTTAGGTCTCCCATTTTCAGAGCCAAGAAAGCCTTAGTAAGTGTCAGGACTGCTGATGGCATCATCTTTTCTACTTTCTGAAGATACTTCACAGCTGTCAAAGGACATATGTTTCTCATGCTGGGACTGCAAAGGACGTGAGGCAGCTGCACAGGGTCCGCAAGATAGAATATCTGGAGAACTTTATTTCCTGATTCCTATTGAAATAAAAGCCATTTGACAGCTCAGACCTCTTCAGATATTCATTCTTCTATGGCATATTAAAATAGTGCAGTTCTGTTGTTTTGTTTTTTGTGACTGGTTTGTTTGTAGTTTTTTAAAACTGAGAAGTTCAGTTTAGCGATCAAATCACAGCGCCTTTCCTGCCACTCTACTGGTAATAGTAAAGGATTGCTAACTGGTAGTGATTCAACCCATATTCTGGCATGCTAAGAAGAACATCTACCACCAAAATGAATTGTTTTTAGCAATCTGTACAATTTACCTGTGATCAAAGAAACAGTTTGTTTTGCTACAGAAATGAGAGATGACAGAAATCTGAGGCAAGGCTTTCTTAAAACAGAAGTGTCTCTGTGCAAGTGGGAACCAGATGATAGCAACATGCATCATGATAGCCAAACCTGTAAGATGTTGCTTGAACACAGTCCAAAGCATCACAGGTGCTGTTTGCTATTCAACAAAAATGGGAAAATAAAAATAATGTGAAAAAGAGTAACTGTAAAATTAAAAAAAAGCAGTTCAGCATTTTCAAAGGGAAAGTGATTAATATTTGACACACAATTCTTAAAATCAGAACTAAATTAGCAGATTACAAATAAACCAACTTTTTTCTACCTTACTTAATTCTTCATTTGAGTCTTCATTAAGAGAATGAGTTAAGTAAAATATAAATCCTTTCGCGTATGTCTGCATTTCATCACCTTCTGAAACTAGTCTCTTTAAAACTTCAGTCATGGATAAACCTGACATTCTGTAGTATGGCAAAGCAAGGTGGTAATCCTTTGTGTCAAACCTGAAGGAAATAGAGAGGAAGGAAAAAATAGCAAAACAACTCAGGGCAATGCTTTTGCCATCACTGTAAGAATTAAAACTAAATCAAACTAAGTCGCAGGCACATCAGTTATCTGCATATATTGTTCATGTTCAACGTAGTTCCACTGAGTTCAATATAATTCTGAGTAATTAAATTCTGTTCAATGGCAATAAAGACAACCAGCTACTGAAGAGAGGACTAGGTTAGGCTGGTTTTGTAAAACACAAAAGTTTGTATTAAATATACAGTACTAATGCAAAATAGCAAAGAATTATGGATTTTCATTTTAAGGTTACACTACTGGAAACACAGCTCACCTATGCCACTTTGACATCTAAAACATACCTGCCGTAGCAGTCTCCTAAGAAGGCACAACTTTCTCTGAATGCTTTTATAAGATCTTCCTTCTCATCTGATTTAAGGAAATGAGGGTCCATCATAGCTGCTCTGACCAGTAGGTGAGCCTCACTTAGAAGATGGATGCAGCTCTCAGTTTTAACATTTTCGTAAGTTCTACTATAATCTACCTAGAACAGACACAGGATATACTTAGGCTCCTGACAAAAATTAAGAATATACAGGAACAATTCTAATGAGGACAGCAGCCATTTGAAACAGGATTATGGGCTACTCAAAAGAAATACATTACACTATATTCAGCAAATTCAGAGATTAATTAACAATACTTATTTTTAGTTAGCAAACAACAAAAGCAGGAGTTGGGCAATACCATTTCTCTGTAAAGCTGAATTGTTGAAACAGTGTTTATAATATATAAATTCCAACCAGGCTCTGACTCAGAATTTGTTCTGGATTTGATGCTGTCAGTCTTTCTGGAACTAAAGAAAAGAGTTGAGTTGTCAGTGTTGAAACAAACATTATGCAACCAAAAAACCCCCACTTACTTTGTAATTCAAATGCATAAATGCATACCTATTTATGTTTACAGAGTAGTAAGTGCTGGAGAGTTAAGCTGTGAATTTATGTCATACTGGCTAGTAACAGAACGGGGACAGGCATGTTCATAAAATAGAGTCATCATCAGAAGTGTCCACTACATCTTCTCCTGTGCTTAACACCAGGGAGTATCAGGAATCATAGAATCATCAAATGGCTTGGCTTGGACCTTAAAGATCATCTAGTTCTATCCCCCATGTCATAGGCATGGGATGCCACCCACTGAACCAGTCAGATAGCCCAGGGCCTTATCCAACCAGACCTTGAACAGTTAAGTAATTTAAATTAGCTGTTTAATCTCCTATAAGGACTTAGCGGATGTTTGCCCCTGCAGCTCTGTTGAAGAGTTTGACAAGACATAGCATAAAGAGGTATCAGAATGCTTTTATTCTAAAATGTCGGCTCCATCTGTAAAGCCTTAAGGTTAAAAACACTGTAGGAAAATGGACTCTTTTTGTTCTGGTTTTTAATTTTATTTTAACTGTACAGATGTAAAGATGTTTACATCTTTATTTTAAAATGATGGTGCTACATAGCTTAGTATTGTCCAACTTACTTTCTTTACAGAAGGCAAAAAGTATGTCTTCTGCAAATGCCAATTAGAGTATGTGAAACAACACAATTGGCAGAAAATGTGCTTTATACAAGAAAACTACAGTATTTTGAATACTTATTTCTCCTGACAGGTTTCTCCTTTTCTTCTTCTGAATAATGTCTGCTCTAGACTTTAAGAAATACTGGTTCAAATAACTCTTCAATCAACTAAAGCTGTCCCACTCTTGTTAATTAACTTAAACTGACTTTAAATGTGGTTTCTGAATAGTTGTTTAGAATAGCTGCTTAGCTGTTTATGAAAAGCCTTCAAAAATGGAAAGGGAATAGCAGTTGCCATGGAAACCCATAAAAGTCACATATGCCTCTGGCTACACACATGCTACAACAGTAACTTGGGGCTAAATCTGATCCAACTTCTGTCATGGATAACTACAGTGATGTTTGTAACTTTCTCGGAAAGAACCCTTAGCCAGGTAGACATTTAAGATAAGACATTTAATTTTGTGCTGCAACACATTTGTAACCTGTAGCTTTGGCACTACATATTTTTGGTACTCTACGTTTTTAGTCCAGATAAATATTTTTTCAATTCTCATGAGAAATTCTTAGTAATGTTATTTTAACATGTTGCTGATTTCCAGCATTTGTGGCTTTATGCTCATTTCTTCTATGTCAATAAATACAACACAACTGGGAAAAAAAGCTTGACTGCTCTCCTCAGTCACTGAGAAGGCAATTATTTCTAATGAGTTTTTCAACAGAAGAACCACTCTTAAATTGCAATATCCACAATTTCAGCACTGTACACAGAGCTATAAGTACCATCTCCCTGAAAGACACAAATCCTTACAGCATCCTTCTTGTAGGCTTTCTTCTTTCAGTAATATCTTCTGTGTCTGCCTTAGTCAAAAGAATTATATGGTTTTTGAAATGACAGATAGCTCTTGGTCCTATAAAAAGCTGCATTCTTAATGTACAGACATCGAGTGTGACAGGTGGACAAGCCTACAAAGGAAAGTGACTGTTTTGTAATTTCACTTGGTATGTACATTGAATTTTTAAATAAATCAGAAAAAAAACAAGTAAGCTTTGTACAACGATCTGACATTAAAAACATTCACTGACTTTCCTAACTTTGAGTGCTTCATTTAAGCAAGAATAAAAAATACTCATAAATGCCTAACAAGAATCATTTAATGATGAGTGAAAAAAATATTTCATTCTTCAAAGTATCTGCACAGTTTCAGCTATGTTTCTCAAAATAATTGAGTCTGAGGTAGATGCCTAACATGGAAAACTTTATCCTGAACAGTTTGAATTTGGTGAAGTTTTAAAAGACTGCCTGCTTATAATTCAGTTGCTTATAAAAAGCTATTACAGATAGAAGTATTATATTTGCTTGCCTACTGTTACCTTACACAGCCAGTATTATTTCCCTGATTTGTTCTATATGCACTTTTCATGTAAAACATATGCTGTTACCTATAGTGGACCAAAAAATTGAAAAATGCAACCTCATTTGCATAGAAATGTTCTAAATTTACAGCTTTAAAAAGACAAAATACTACACTTACAAATTAACATACAGTGAAACAAGACAACAAAACATTATAGGTGTAACCTGCTTTTTGAAGACACCTCAACATTTCTTGAAGGAGGTGGAGGCCTACAGTAGTGATCTGGAGGATCTAGACTGTCCTGGGCTAATGAGACCCAGAAAGAGGCAGGTCTAAAACTGGTTTTAAAAAACAGCAGGAAAAATGGTAATAGCAAATAATAAAAATAACCATAACACTTCCAACTCCGCATTGGGGTAGGGACATCCATGAGGGAACTGGGCCATGAAGGACTCACACCAGCGCAGGGATGCCCCTGAGGGACTGTAGCCCATGGAGGGGTCCATGCCAGAGTGGGTGGGCACGCTGTGGATGGCAAGCTGCAGCACGGAAATGTGTAGGACTGCAGCCTTTACACCTCTCCAAAACTCCTACAGACACAGAAAGTGTGTCAGTTGACTGACTGGAGGAACTGCAACGGATTTCAATGTAACCCACAATGAAAACACAGAAAGCTGAGACTGGAGACTGGACAGGAGAGACTGTGTCATGTGCTGGTATTTGCTATCCAGAGCAAAGAATACATGTTTGGCTCTTGAAAATTTTCTTGAAAATTTTCTTGAAAACTTCTGCTGGCCTATGGTTTCTTTATGTCTGCTGTCTACATGCTCAGAAGAAATCCTTAAATGCTATCTTAAAACAAACCTCTGTCTATCCTTCCTACTACATTTATTAATGTGTATCACAATCTTTAAATTCAATAGATTTTTACTGATAAGCAACTTAAGGAAGGTGAAAAGTTTAGACCTCCAAGTAGCAAAAGCCCTCCTTCAAAAAACATGCCCTAAGTATCTGGTAGCAGACTTCTTTGACTGCCTACATGCCTCTTAGAAAAACTGGTTTTTCAAGGACACCTAAGAGAGAGAAACAGACAACAAGACAAGAAAAATCTTTGTTAAGTTTTATGCAGAAGAGCATGGAATTTAGTTTAAAAATAAGTGTTTTTATAGCTTTTCATGTTTTTGAAAACATTCTACTAATGGTCTACAATTTTACATGGCAATAACAGGTTGTTTCATTGAGATATCTGCAGGCCACCAAAATACAACACGTCATTCATTTTGGATCTTATTATATTGGTTCAGCCACCAGAAACTAACAGGATTTCAAAATATAAGTCAACTAAGTGCCATACCACTACCCCCATTCATTAGTGAGATAATGAGAGGTGTACCTTCACAGTCGTGTCGATATAGGGATCCTCACCACGAGCTGCTGCTGCACTGCATCGCACTGTGAAGCACTGCAGGCTCTGACTAGAGCAAAAGAAGAAAACACAACAATGAAGGAAAGAAATTAAGATTTGAAAAAATCAAGTAGCCAAGACTACAGTGAATCAGCTGTTTTTCCTTCGAAGAAATGGGCTTAAAAGCCCAAGCAGTAGGGTATGATGAACTACCACATGAGCCTGCCTTGAGATTTCCAGGAGGCTATGAAGGATGTATCAGAAGCAAAAAAAAAAAAAAAAAAAAAAAAAAAAAAAAAAAAAAAAAAAAAAAAAAAAAAAAAAAAAAATTAAAAAAGGGCAGCAGCATAGAGAAACAGTCATACTATCAGTAAAACCATGAACACAGTACCTTGTAATGACATGCAGGAACTGTGGAGTGAGGACTGCCTGCTCTGACTTCTCTGAATATTGGTAAGTAGAAATTAGCTCTACTAACTTTCCAATGGAGTAGAGATATCCAACATAAGGTAAAGAGAAAAAGCAGAAGAGACTCAGAAGTTTTCTCTTGTTCTCAGTTTCCTCATAGGCTGTTGTAGAAATTCCTAGATGTAACAATGAGAAAGGCATTTTATATACTTCATAAATAAAACCCTGGCAATTCCATTCCAAGCATGATGTGTAATAGAATCAAACATGCCCAAGTTGCAGACTAGTTTTCTTAGAAGCTTGTAAAAAGAAGTTCTATATGAAGCTCAGTGCATATGTCAAAAACTTCTATGACATGTTGTCTCATTTGGAGGCATTTTCACAAAAATTTAGATTTAGCACCTAGTGAAGAAATTCAGTAGTTCTAACAGCATTAGAGAGTCCTAAAGTCACTACAGTTATGCATCCATGAACTGAAAGCCTGATTTTAGACAATTACTTTTAAATTGGAATGAATACTCATCCGGAGCTGCAGCTCACAAAAAAAAAAGGTCATTATTTATGGGGAGGAAAGGCTGGAAATGGCAGAATTTATTAGGATGCCACTTTAGCAGGTAACAGCTGCGTTTGAATTCTACAGACACTCTTGTCAAAGCCTGTAAATCACACAAGAGTGTAAGACAGCAAGTGGTTCATTCTTTTCAGTCAGCTGCAGTCAGCTGCAGTTAAATGAGGCATTGCTACTTAGCAGACAGTAAACCATCTCAAACTGAGTGAGCAGTCAATATAAGTCAAGGGCCAACCATGTCCTGGGATGCATAAGGCCCAGCACTGCTGGGGGTCAGGGATGGGATTGTCCCACTCTGCTCTGCACTTGGGGCAGCATTATCTCAATAGAGTCCTGGGGGCAGTTTGGGGCACTACAATACAAGAAGGATATAAACCTATTAGAGAAGAGACTAAGGGAGTGCTGCAAAGACAGTGAAGAGTCTGGAGGGGAGGCTAAAGGAGGAGGGCATTTGGTTTGTTCAGCCTGGAGGAGACTGAGGAGAGGCCTAAGAGCATTCTATGTCCAGTTCCTCAGGGAATGGCATGAAGCTATGACAGGGAGATTTAGATTGGGTATTAGGAAAAGGTTTTTCCCCAGAGGGTGGTCAGGCACTGGCACAGGCTCCCCAAGGCAGGGGTCATGGCCCAAACCTGCCAGAGCTCAAGAAGCATTTGGAAAATGTTCTCAGGCACTCGGTGGGACCCTTGGGGTTCTCCTGCACAGGGCCAGGAGTTGGATTCAATGATCCTTGTGAGTCCCTTCCAACTCAGGACATTCTATGATACTACAAAATCTGACTGCTAACATACAGCATTAAATTCTTCCATGGGTCTTTTGGAGCTTGAGTTAGTGAACCCCTAAAATCTGCACTAATTCCTTCCAGTTTTAATTAAGGCCCTTCAGAAAGGTAACCAGTACCTTAGTAATTATTAAGGTTTACTACTCTGATTTCCTCAGCTGGCTAAGTGGCAGTCTAGTATCCTGCAAAACTAAGGAGAATTTTATTAACTCAGTGTAAAGAGTGACTGTTTTGCAACTCAAAATTTATCAACAAAGAACTGATAAAAACTGATTTAGTCACACTTTTGGTGTGTTGAATTGGTATTTTAGTGCAAGGTTTATGTAGAACTTGGAGAAATTATGACTTTTTTGTTAACAGCAGCTCAGTTTAAATTGCTGAAAAGGGACAAAGTATCTGAATTTAAAAACAAATCATACAGAAATCACACGGTGTATGAAACAGGATACACAAAGAAGCTCTCTCCTTTCATAAGTCTCCTGTGACACAGTCCATTATGCGTTCATGCATATCCATATACCTGTCTGGTATACAGGAAGCAGTTGAACAGAGTGCAACTTTGTCTCTTCACAAAACCCAAAAGGCGACTGGTCGGGTGCAAAACGTCTAGGAAAAAAAGTCCGAAATAACATGGGACTGCAGTGAGAAATGACAATGATATATGTTGGACAAGTAAACAGCACTGCTACAAGAGGCACAGCTCATGTTTTAACACTTAACAACAATGCACACTCCTACTACCAATGCCATTAGCACAGCAATGCCAAGAAGCACATGGCACACCTAGATAGAACTCCATATATTGAGATCCTCTCTGCTTGTCTGCAAAATGCATGTCAAAGTTTGACATCACTGAAGAAATCCTGCAATTGATTTTGACCTCAATTTAACCTTTTTTTTCCTCTTTCTTTTTAGTCCACTGAGCTATTGGAACATCATGCCACCTCTAATACTCTTTTTATACAATTATGTGTCATCCTTTTCCCTGTTTTGCTTTGGAATTCACTGTTGGACCCTGACATCCATTCTTCCTCAGCTTTTGATAGAAATTTTGATGAAAGACTAAATAAGCTTCCTGAGGAAGGGACTTGGAGAGGCAGGTGCTGAACTTGTCTGCCTGGGATCCTGGGACAAGACACCTGGGAAAGGCTCGAAGCTGTGCCAGGAAAGGTTCAGACTCGATGTGAAGAAGTATTTTCTTAGCAAGATTGGTGAAAAACTGAAAAGGCTTCCTAGAGAGGTGGTTGATGCCCTAGACCTGTCCCTGTTTAAGAGGCATTTGGACTGCGCCCTTAATAATGCGCTTTAATAGTGGCTCACCCCAAAAGTGGTCAGGCAGTTGCACTAGATGATTGCTGCAGATCCCTTCCAAGTGAAATATTCCAAGATACTAAAAAATGGGCTTTCTTTGGTATCAAAAGAAACACCAAACCTTATAAAAACCCCAGGAGTTAAAATATCAGGAGTTTCCTTTCAGAAAGACAAAACACACAACTCAGTTTGGTTTTTTGTACTAAATTAACCCATAAAAGGGAAAATATGTCTGTAATACCTGTAAAGCAGATACCGCACTTGGAAGTGCTTTGTGTCTTCTGTAGATAACTCTGTGGATTCCAGTGTGACAGGTATCTCACATAGCTTACTTTCTTCCCCAAGCAGTTCCACTGGCTTCTGACATATGATGAACTCATCTAATTCAAGCTGTAAAGGATCTGTTGAAGTACTTTCATCTTTCACACCTAAGCAATGAAAATGCTACCTTAATTGTTCAAACTATTCCACATGGTAGTAAGAAAATGGTATGACAATATAAACTAAATACTCCAGTTACATCTACCCTGCTAGCACTGGCTTCCTCAAACCACAAGATTTTGAAAACAGCCTCAACAGTCTGAATACTTAAGAGTCAAGATTTCTGTAAAAAAAAAACCCAAACAGGTAAACTGTTCATTAGAAGGTGAGTCAAAGGCAAATGGCTGGTCATCAAAAAGTGTTGACATTTGGCTGAAGAGGTTTTGAGAAGGCAAAGGAAGCTATGACAGGAAATTGTATTATCTTTAACTCACTTAAGTCCTAGAAAGCAAATCCTAATAACACTCAGAAAGTAACTGGAACTTTTCTATGTAGTTTTTAGCAATAAAAAAAAATAGGGGCAGGATGCCATTATCTGAGGAAAGACCCATCTTCACTTAGTGAAGAGCATTACATTTATATTGTCCCTATCTGAAAAGTCTTATTTACCTTTAAATTTTTTCTAGGTATAGTTTCCATTTCTAAACAACCATCCTTTTGAGTTTCTTCAGTTACAAAGAAAGGACCTTCCTAAGGTTTGTTGGTGTTGATCTGATAAATATACTTTTGGAGAAGTGGGAATTGATAATTGATTATATACAGATTGATGTATTGCAATACACGGGAATGAAACCTGAGTACATCTATTTCCAGGATTTCTAGAATTCTAAGGTAAGCCCCGGAATAAGATAAAGGACTGAAAAAGGAGAATTTGCTTGATTATGGCAGGTTCTGAGCCTAAAAGTTAAAAAAGTACGTAGGCATCACAACAGAAACATTCTTAATTGTGTTAGCCAGCTCCTTAGGCACTGACACCAATAGAATAATTTTTCTGAACACAGCACACTAAACTACTACCACTTTAACTTGGCCCATTATGGCACCCTAAACTAGGGACCTAACTGTGTGACTGCAGAGGCTGCAAAATCCTCTAAGTGTGCAGCATGATGGCGTATTTGTTTGAAATTTGAAATGTCACCTCCAGCTGCAGGATGGTACAACTTTTCATGCTTTAGACTATTTAGCTGATAGTCAGTGATAGGACAATCTGGAAATATTTTCTGAAGGGCAAAGACCTTGTTCAAGACTATTTCAGAACAACAGGAATCAATAAGCAGATTCTTAGAGATTTAAAAAAAAAAAAAATTAAATTATTTTAGCACCTACCTCCATCCACAGCCTTTTCTGGTGCATTGACTGCCTGAGCACATTGCTCTGTCCTGTCTGCCCTCTGCTGGACCAGTTCCAGTTTCAGCATTAGAACATCCAGCTCTGTTGTTACAGCTATATGTCTGGCACAAAACGCAACTTCAGCAGGAATGAGGTTATTAATGTGCAAAATTAAGGAGCGTTCAAAATCTAACACAGTCAAATTCTGATTTATGACCCGGTATTTCAAACAGAACATGACTAGTTTATTCTTGCAGCCCACAAGAAGATCTCCATTCACAGGACAACACGAAATGCACAGTGGAGGATCTGAAAGTGGCATTTCAACAACTGACATCTGTTCTTTTAAGGTTTCACTGTATGACTCTTCCATCTTGTGACCAACCATCCGAACACACACACGAGAACTCCCTGCAGACATGCATCTCCAGTTCATATATGCTCTTAGGAAAGTTGCTTTGCTTTTTTCTTCAATTGTCACCAGATAGTCTCCTTAAAAGAAAGCAGTTACACTGATACATCATGAAAAAACAGATGACAGTTTCTTTACCTGCTGTAGTGTGCTACAAAGAACATCTTCAAGGCTCAACTCTTAAAAAAAATTCCAAAAACAGTTTTCACCATTTTTTCTCTAACTGAATACAAAGCACAAGTTTCTTTGCTGGGTGGCACACACTTCTCACACCACTAAAAGCAAGGACTTACATATGTAGGTCCAGAGTAACTCCTATGTAAATCCTCTCTACAAATTGTGATTGCATACAAGGTTCCCCCCACCCCCCCGCCTTCTTATATCCATTAATGAGGAGATGTTTTGTTCTCCACAGACCATGGAAAGCAATAGACAGACCACCCACTCCGTGCTCTAAAAACAAACAAAAAACCAACAACAACAACCATAAAACGCAAAACAAAAACACCGAAACAACCCCCAAAAGCAGGGGAGGGAGCACAGACCGCAACCGAGCCGTAGGCAGACGACGAAGGGAGATGTGGCTTCCACCCCTCCCTGCAGGCCCAAGCGCCGCCGGCGCTGGGACCGGCCCGCGTTTCCCAGCCCGGCCCGCTGGCCAGCCCGCTCTAGGAGGCGCGCCTCACCTCCGGCTCGGAAGCAGCCTGAGAAAGGGGCTGAGGGGGAGGCGGGTGGAATGGCCAGGCCCTCCTGCCGCGGCGGAACCCGAGCAGCTTTGTTCGCCTCCCAGAGCCCCCCATCCCCGCCCGGCGGAGCTCCAGGGCCGCTCTACGTACTCGAGCCTGACGCGTCCCGGCCTCTGCAGCCGACCACTCACGGACCCAGCCACGGCCGGGACTGACCTGTCGAGCTGTGCGCCATGCGCAGCACCGGACCCAGCGTGGCGAAGGAGCCCAGGGCCTCGCAGCGGCCCTGTTCGTGCACGGCGAACACCTCCACCTTGCAGCTGGCCGCCGTGCTGGCCACGAACAGCACGTCTTGGCCGCAGCAGAAGTGCGACGGTTCTTGCTTGCAGGGCACTACTCGCTGTGACCCGAACGGGTGCAGATTGTACAGCTGCACCATGGTCCCGAAAAGTTCCGCTGTAGCAGCGGAGGGAGCACCCGCAGCCTCCCGGGGCGGCGCCCTCCACTTCCGCCGTGGGCAGAGCCGCCTCCGGGCGGCGCTGTGCGGGGGCGGCTGCGGCCGGCAGTGTGCGGCTGCCCCGGGACAGATACTCTCCTACCTGTCCGTAGGTAGGAGGTTCCGTGTGCGTGGCCTTGGCGTGTTTCCACTGCAGAGTGAGCACCCCCGGAACCTTCCGTCATGGCAGAGTAGCGCTGTACACTAGTGGAGCTCTTGAGTGGGAAGAGCAACTGGAAGTGATCGTTGAGGTGTGAGACGGACTGGGAACGGTGGCTCGTAAATGGAAGACCTTGATGACAGGTGTTTGGTCGGTGGTTTGTGTGCGGAGCAGCCTTCACTTGGGCACGGCTTGGAGCCGCTACCGCCGGCAGGAGCATGCCTAATGCATTAGGCTACTGAAAGCTGGGCTCTCCCAGCGTCAAAAATAGAAACTTTTTTGTATTTAAATACAGCAGTTCTTTCTTAATAACCAACAAAAAAAAATTAACACCCAACCCAACAACCAACCCCAAAAAGCCTAGTTATTTCACAGAATATTCCCAGGTAGAAGGGATCCACAAGGATCACTTGAGTCCAACTCTTAGCTGAATGGCCTATATGGGAATTGAAACCACAACCGTTGGTATTGTTAGCACCGTGCTCTAACCAGTTGGGTCAGCACTTTTTACACAAAGCCAAGTGTCCTATGATAGAGCTGCTTCTATGTGTCTCTAAAGCTCTATTCATGTGAGCATACTAGAAAAGGATATTCGAATTTTTTTACTATGCTAATGTAGGAAGGTAAAAATTACTATGCTCTTTTAAAGCAGGTAACAGATCAGCTAGTCTCAAACTGTCCTTCCTTCATGAATACACACATTAATAGTGAAGAAAAAAAAAAGCAGCAGTATAATCTTTGGAACTTTATTTGGAAGCACATTTGAAAACAAACAAGGTTCTGCAGTTTTTTGGTTTTTTTTTTTTTTTGTAAACAGATTTTTCCAGGCTTTAGTTTTCTCAATATTCATCTCCTTCTTCAGCCTCTGCTTCTACTGAGTCTAGGCCAACTTCTTCATAATCTTTCTCAAGGGCAGCCAGGTCTTCCCGGGCTTCGGAAAATTCACCTTCCTCCATCCCCTCCCCAACATACCAATGCACAAAGGCACGCTTAGTATACATGAGATCGAATTTGTGGTCGAGCCGAGCCCAAGCTTCTGCAATAGCAGTTGTGTTACTCAACATACACACAGCCCGCTGCACTTTGGCAAGATCAGCACCTGGCACCACAGTTGGAGGCTGGTAGTTAATGCCCACCTTCAAGAAAACAAATGAGAACTTTCCTTAGGAATACTAAGGCTTAAATACCCATTTCTCTTAACAATCAAAAATCACCATGATTACAAATAAATTAAAGAGCTTAGAGTTATTTTACACTTTATCAAAGTATTTAACAGGGATATGACAACACTGTAGCGTGACTGTCACCTCTGAAGATTACACAATTCCTAATCATTTAGATATTGAGCACTTAAAAAGCTACATACCTTGAATCCAGTTGGGCACCAATCCACAAACTGAATGGTACGTTTAGTCTTGATAGTGGCAATGGCTGCATTGACATCTTTGGGTACAACATCGCCTCTGTACAGCATGCAGCAGGCCATGTACTTGCCATGGCGAGGGTCGCATTTGACCATCTGGTTGGCTGGTTCAAAGCAAGCGTGGGTAATTTCAGCCACAGATAACTGCTCATGATATGCTTTTTCAGCAGAGATGATAGGGGCATATGTTACCAAGGGGAAATGGATTCGTGGGTATGGAACCAGGTTAGTTTGAAATTCTGTCAGGTCTACATTGAGGGCTCCATCAAAACGCAGTGAGGCTGTGATGGACGAAACAATTTGCCCAATTAATCGGTTTAAATTGGTGTAAGTAGGACGGCCAATATCCAGATTACGACGACATATATCATAAATGGCTTCATTATCTACCATAAAGGCACAGTCTGAATGCTCTAATGTTGTGTGGGTAGTTAGAATTGAGTTGTAGGGTTCCACTACAGCAGTGGAAACTTGTGGTGCTGGATAAATCGCGAACTCCAGTTTAGATTTCTTGCCATAGTCAACAGACAGCCTTTCCATGAGCAGCGATGCAAACCCTGAACCAGTGCCTCCTCCAAAACTATGAAAGATAAGGAAGCCTTGCAGCCCTGTGCACAGGTCAGCCTAGAAGAAGGTGTGAAAAAATGGGAGAAAAAAGTTATTGATGGTTTTGGAGTAGTAAGTATTAAAATAATAATTCAAAAGCATCTCTGTCATACATTTGATATTATAACATTGTTACAAAAAACAAAACAGTGTTCTTCAAAGGTCCTGGTTTAACTGATTGAATTTTTATTTAAAGGGGGGGTAGGTAAGGCCAGGAAATAAAAGGTTTATTTTGTTTTGAACAATTAACTATGCACAAAATTCTTAACGAAAAAACAGCAAACCATCAGTATAGCTAGCTATAGAGCTGTATCAATTATTTCAAATACTAACTTGTAGCATGAATCCTTACCAGTTTGCGAATGCGGTCTAGCACTAGATCAACAATTTCTTTTCCAATGGTATAATGGCCTCTGGCATAATTATTGGCTGCATCCTCTTTCCCAGTAATGAGCTGCTCAGGATGGAATAACTGCCTATACGTGCCTGTACGTACTTCATCTACAAAAAAACCCAAAATACCACATCATAAATTTGATCAGTTCTTTGTGTGTGTTTAGTGACTACACACGAAGCACACATGATGTCAAAAGCGTGTAGACAGCATCTCCGACTACATGCAGCTTGTCTGACTAGTCTAAAAAGTTGGCACAACTTCTGCCCCTTTGTTTCAAAGTAAACATCAGGCACACACAAATTAAATATGTACTCAAGGAACAACACAGAGATCACTCAGAAAACTACATTACAGGTACAGACATGGTAACAGCACTGAAACAAAACTCTGTATGCAGTGCAGTGCAGCAGTCTGGAAAGATGATCCAGACTACAAAAAAGTTCTCTTGTTCTCCAGATATTGTTACCTGTACACCATTATTTAATTTCTTTCAAATAACAATAACTGCAAATGTCAAAACAGCATCTAAATACACATTTTAAACTCTAGAGTGCTCTAAACAAACAAAAAAAAGACACTAGGGAATCCTTAAAGGATTCTCACTTTTTCACTTAAGACCTTTACTGTTGGGTACATACCAACTACGGTTGGCTCTAGGTCTACAAACACTGCTCTCGGAACATGTTTACCAGCTCCCGTCTCACTGAAGAAAGTGTTAAATGAATCATCTCCACGTCCCATAGTATTATCACTAGGCACTTGACCATCAGGCTGGATCCCGTGTTCAAGACAATACAATTCCCAACACGCATTGCCAATCTGAACACCGGCCTGACCAACGTGGATGGATATGCACTCACGCTGCAAAGTAAAAAGAGAATGATAATGAGATATGGAGCTACCCGCCTGTGGGTTGTACTTTCCACGATCTTTCTCTGCTGCAATGTTCCCTGGTTACTCTTAAATGACAATTTAAGAGAACAAGTTGTCTCCTGCTGGCAAGACACTACTCACCTTTGCTGACCTGCACTGACTCTGTGAATATTGGAAGACCCTAAAGACAACATAGTCCCTATGAACACATGGGTGAATAGAAATTCATTACCCCTTACAATGCTGCATATATATTCCATCTTTAATATACCTAGTCTCTTTTTCACCTTCTTTCAGTTTTTGGAAGACCTCTTTATATAATATCCCCACAATTTTCTTGACTTGTCACCAGACCATGTACCAGGTAACTGTTGCAAGAATCTTTCCTGCACAGGACCATTCAGTACCTTTTCCTTTATAATAAACATACCAGTATCTAGGCCCTAGCAATTACTACGTATTTTTCCCCTATATATTCCTATGTGAAATCATCTTAAGAGTCACAATTAAATGTAATATGCCCCCTTTAAGCTAGCTCCTTTGATTCTAAGTACCATATATGTTTAATCTTCCAATACCTGAATTGCCTTACACCTGAGAGGGAAATAAGGTGATTTTCTAGTTTACTGTTAAGAGTGTATCTAGAAAAAAAGCAGAGGTGGACAAGAAAAAGCAAGGTGCCCGGGCTGCTTTCCCGCTTCCTCGGCAGCTTCATCAAATCCAGCAGTCTCCCGCAGACCCGTCACGAGATTCGCGCCGCCCGCCGAGCCCCTCACCGCCGCCGGCCACACCTCTTCCTCTGATTGGCTAGGCCCAGAGAGCGGCTCCCGGCGCGCGCCGCCCGCCCCGTCCCTCGTCGCCGTCGACTGTGGAGCGCGCGCTGCGCCTTCTACGGCTTCACGCGCCAAGGCGGCTCAAAACCGGCATATAGTTCCGGCCGGCGGCCACCATGCTCTGTCCCGCTATCTGCCCGCCGCCCGATGGAGGTTTCAGTTCGTCCCTCGCCTCTTAGCGCGGGAGGTGCCTGCTCCGAATAGACTTCCCTTGCACATAATCTTGTCTTGCTAGCTATCGGCCGATTTCTATGCCTCGCCTCCCCTGAGGCGAGGCATTAAGGTTTCACACTAATTTCTCTCCTTCTCCCCAACCCTTCTGCCTTAGAGCTACCGCGGGGACTTCAGGCAGAGACTGCCTGCGAGTTCTGCCGCAGCACGTGCAGTCATGAACTCTCCTGAAATGCAACAGAAGCAGTCCCAAACGCTCTCCCCCGC